GGTATCCCTGTCTTTGCAATGAACAGTCACCTCTTCAGTCTTCATAGGACTACCAAACCTTCTCCTTTACCTTCTGATCCTTCAGACCTTCCCCTGCCCCCAGAAACCCATGTACAGCCTTGATTTATCATTGTCCACAGCTGCTTCCCACCCTGCATTGAGTTCTGATGACTTTCCAGCCATATTACTCTCTTATACAGTCCCAAGGCTGGAAGTTCCCTGGGGACCAGGGACCTGGCCTTATTTAAGGAGTGGGAATCAGGGTAAATCACTTAGCAGTATTTGCCAGAGGAATCTTCTCCTCCCTGCCCTCCTTGCAAGTTACTGAGCCCAGCTCAACACTGTCTTTCTCTCTAGACTCCTCCTGCAGACAGAAGAGGCTGACATAACATCCTTCGTCCCATATTCTTGAGAGAATCCAAGGATCCCCAATACACTTACTTTTGTCTCCTGGTCAGAAATGAAATGACAGCAATATCCCTCCCAGAGTCAAGCTATCCCCGCTTAGTAGCTACTAAGACAAAGGTAGAATTAGTGGCCCTTTTTGGATTTGTAAACTGTTTACTGAGTGCCCACAGGACTGCCAGCTGCTGCTGCTGCTGCTGCTTCCTCCTCCTCCTCCTCCTCCTCCTCCTCCTCCTCTTCTTCTTCTTCTTCTTCTGTCAGTTGTAGGGCTTGAACTCTGGGCCTGGGTGCAATCTCTCAGCTCTTTAGCACAAGGCCAGCTCTCTACCACTTGAGCTATAGCACCACTTCCGGTTTTCTGGTGGTTAATTGGATATAAGAGTATCACAGACTCTCCTTGCCTGGACTGGCTTTGAACTGCGATCCTCAGAACTCAGCCTCCTGAGTAGCTAGGATTACAGGCGTGAGCCACCATCACCCGGCCAGGACTGCCAGCTTTTTTTTTTTTTTTTTGGTGGTTGTGGGGTTTGAACTCTGGGCCTGGGCACTGTCCCCCAGCTCTTCAGCTCAAGGCGAGTGCCCTACCACTTGAGCTACAGTGCCACTTCCAGTTTTCTAGTGGTTTATTGGAGATAGGAGTCTCATGATCTCTCCTGCCCGGGCTGGCTTTGAACCGCGATCCTCAGATCTCAGCCTCCTGAGTAGCTAGGATTACAGGCGTGAGCCACCGGTGCCTGCCGACTGCCAGCTTTGAATGGAGGTTCTGCCAGCTGAGCCTCTGATCAGGTAGATCCACTGGTGTTTAAATTGTCTGTGAAACAGGCATAGGGTAGGAAGTGTCCAGGAACCAAATCAGACACCCCTCGGGTCCTCATTTGGGAGAAATTTACAAATAAGAATTGTCTTTTTAGCCAGATGCTAGTGGCTCACACTTGTAATCCTAACACCTCAAGAGGTTGAAATCTGAAGACTGTGGTTCAAAGTTAGTCAGGGCAGGAAAATCCATGAGACTCTTATCCCCAATAAACTACCAAACCACGGCTGGGAAGGTGGCTGAGTAGTAGAGTGCTTGCCTTGCATGCATGAGGCCCTAGGTTTGATTCCTCAGCACCACATAAGCAGAAAAAGCCAGAAGTGGTGCTGTGGCTCAACAGGTAGAGCACAAGCCTTGAGCTGAAAAGCTGAAGGACCGCGCCCAGGCCCAGAGTTCAGGCCTCACAACCGACAAAAAAACAAAAGCAAAACAAACAAACAATCTACCAAACCAAAAGAGGATACCCTTAGGGGAGGAATGCAAAGGCACAATGCTTATGTGTCTCTGATCATAGAATGTTTATCAAAATGAACTCCAGGAAATGGAAACAAGATGCTTTTTTCTTTGCTTAAAAAAGTAAACTATCACCCCCATGTCCACAAACAAAAAGCCAGAAGTGGAGGTGTTTCTCAAGTGGTAGAGTGTTAGTCTTGAACAAAAAAAGCTCAAGGATAGTACCCTGACTCTTAAGTTCAAGCCCTAGGACTGACACAAAAAGAAAAAGAATTGTCTTTTGAGAAGTGTCTACTTGCTGCTGGTCCCTGGTAGAGACCGAACACCTGATCTTGAGACTCCAAGTGACTTTGCAACCTGAAGTTGGTGTTACCCAGTCCACCCATCCCCACAGCTAGCATTCAGAGTGAGCAGAGAGCCAGCGTCCTCCAGAGATGGTGCTGATAGGTGGAGGTTTGCAAGGCTTGTTTTGGAGAGGGGGGCAGGGATCATGGTCTCATTTCACTAGAGCCACTGGCCCCATTGGGGTAAGAATATTGTTGTTGTTCTTTTTTTTTTTCTTGCCAGTCTTGGAGCTAAAACTCTGGGTCTGGGCACTAGTCCTGGGTTCCTTTTGTTTAAGATTAGCCTTCTACCACTTGAGTCACAGTGCCAGTTCTGGGTTTTTCTGTGATTAATTGGAGATAAGAGTCTCACAGAGCTGGATGTTGGTGGTAATCCTAGCTACTCAGGAGGCTGAGATCTGAAGATCACAGGTCAAAGCCAATCTAGGCAGGAAAGTCTGTAAAACTCTTATCTCCAATAAACTACTTAGAAAAAGTCAGAAATGGCACTATAGCTCAAGTGGTAGAGTGCTAGCCTTGAGCAAAAGAAGCTCAAGGACAGTGCCCTGGCCCAGAGTTCAAGCCCCGGGACCAGCAAAAAAAAAAAAAAAAAAAAGCCTCACAGGTTTTCCTGGCTGGCTTCGACCCACAGTCCTCAGATCTCAGCCTCCTGAGTGGCTAAGATTACAGGCATAAGCCACTAGTGCCCTGTCATATCATTCTTTTTTTTTTTTTTTTTTTCCGGTTGTGGAGCCTGAACTCTAGGCCTAGACGCTGTCCCCAGCTCTTCAGCTGTAGACCAGTTCTACCACCTGAGCCTCAGCCCCACTTCCAGCTTTTTCTGATTATGTGGTGCTGAGGAATCGAACCGAGGGCCTCATGCATGCAAGGCAAGCACTCTACCGCTGAGCCATCTTCCCAGCCCCTGTCATATCATTCTTGAATAGGAATTTGACTAGGAGTTCTGGAGTGAATAGTTTTCCAAATTCTAGCTAAAGTCGTGCCATTTTGTGTCAGGCCTGCATTTGTTTGTTCTTGGTACTGAGGCTCTGTGATAGGTTGCAGGAAAGCAAAGCCATCCTTCCTGTGGGCTCACTGTTCACTGTACCCTTCAAAATCTCTGATAAGGACAAGGATGAAAAGCACCCTCACACAGAGTTCCTTTCTAGGTCTGGGTTGCCCTGTTCTCAGCGAGGTGCTACCCATACTGGGCAAATAGAGGTTTGGGGTGGCAACTGCCTGTAAATAGTCCAGCACTGCAGAGAATCCCTAACATTCATTCACTCATCAAGTTGGACTTGCTCAAGTCATTGTTTGATCTATGGGTGCCATCCCAATTTGGAGTCAGGAGTTTCTTTTCTATTTCCTTGGAAAATTCACACAGGAAGAGTATAGAGGGTCTGCATGATTGTTGGAGAGCCCATTGGGGTGGGCAGAGACAGCAGTGTTTGTAGTCTCTGTTTACCCTTTGCCCTGTCTTTTCCTTGGTTATTTTTTTGGGGGGGGGGTCCGGTCATAGGGCCTGAACTCTGGGCCTGGGTGCTGTCCCTTAGCTCTTCAGCTCAAGGCTAGCGCTCTACCACTTGAGCCACAGTGCCACTGCTGGCTTTTTTTTTTCTTTTGCTTATGTGGTGCTGAGGAATCGAACCCAGGCCTCATGCATGCAAGGCAAGCACTCTACCACTGAGCCACCTTCCCAGCCCCTCCTTGGCTATTTTTTTAAACCTTAATGAAAATGTACAGATTCTTATACTATATTTTTGCAAAATAAATAAAATTGTGCTCTATGTTCTATAAATTAATATTTTTTGATGTTTTGAGACAAAGTCTTACTATATAGCCACGTCTAGTCTGGAACTTAGTATGTAACCTGGGCTGGTCTTGAACTCATGATTCTCATGCCTCAGCCTCCTGAGTGCTGAGATTACAGGTGTGTGCCACCACATCCACACACAAATTATATATGTTTCCCATGTAGAAACTGGGGGGTAGAGGATATGTATCCTGGGTACCAACCAAAGGTTTTTGTAAACAGATGGTTGTAAACATGCTCTGTAATCTGCAAAGCACTGGTGTCCAAGGCAGGGCAGAGGTCTGGAAGTCTGTTCAGGAGACAGCTCAGACCCAGCAACTTGAGATTGGAACTCAACTCTTGTTCTCATGAAGCTTCTAAAACTGTCAAGAGAATTACTCAGTACAAGGGATCGGAAGGTGCTTGTATCTCCATTCCTCTGCTCCCCAACTTTGGAAATGGAGAGCTAGGTAGATTGCACAGTTTAGAAAAGAAAAGCAACCTGCTCCTCCTGGATACTTTATTGGGGGCTTTCAATGGTTTCAAAGCATGAGCAGCAGTGACACCCAGGCCCTTTCCCAGCATGCAAAGGCACAGGAAAGTGAGACCCGACCAGGGGGCAGCATGGAGAAGACAGAGCCCCTCCCCCTGCATGCAGCACAGGGGAGCCCCTGGAAGATGGGAAAGGTGGACATTGAAGGAGGTGGACAGGGACACACCCCTGCCCTTGAGCTGGGACTGACCTTCTGGGGGAAGGCCAACATGGCTTTTGCTGAAAGTCCCACTTCACGGGGTGGGAAACGCAACTCAAGGTGGGGTGGGTCCGTGTGGTTGCCTTCAGGGATTTCAACTGAAATGTCAAACCGAACTCATTGGCCCATGGGGGAGGCGAGTGAAGGGTGTGTGCTCATGGGGTCCGTCCCGGTCATGGCCAGTTTTGGGGATGTCACTGCCTTGGCTTGAGCCAGTGCTGTTTCAGTCCATGTCCAGGAGAAGAATGAAGCCCCTTCTGATCTTCTGGGGCCTCTCGCGGACTCTCCGGCTCTCCAGCCCCAGATGGAGGTACTGGTTAGAAGAGTCGACTCGTCGGTGTTGGCTTTGTCCTGTAAAAGAGGTCCTGGCAAGAAGGAAGGGGAGGCGAAGGGTCAAGCCCTCTGAGCCCCCGGCACCTCCCAGAACCTGAGCCCTGATGGACGGTACGTCCTGGGACTCACCTCAGATCCTAACCAGTCCCCACAATAACGTCTTGAGACCTTGAATCAGAAAAGGCATTCGTGTTTTGTTTCTGTTCTCGCTCTCTTTCTCTCTTTCTCTCTCTCTCCTAGTAGAGCTGTGACCTCAAGTCACAGCCTTGGCGACGTCTACTTCTAAACTATGGAATGTGGTCACACTGACGATAGAATTACTGGGAGCAAGGGGCAGGGAAGTGCTGTCCATGTTCACGGGGCTGAGTTACTGAGAGGTCTTTGGGAATCACACAGCACAGAGACACCAACAGTCAGACACCAAGCCTCTGGGGGCCTGGCTCTAGATGTATTTTTTCTTGAGGTACCAGTAGGCAAAGTAGCCCATCCCACCCAGGGAGCCCATGAGGAAGGATGCCCCGAAGAATGACGGGGGTTTCCGCTTGACCAGCCGGAATGCATTGGGGATGACGGCCGACAGCAGGGTGGTATGGATGTCACCGAGGACTTTCCGGAAGGCAAAGCGTCTCTGGACCCTCTCAAAGAAGGACTGCAGGTTGGGCCGGCTGCCATCTTCCCAGTATTTCTTGGACAGTCCCAGGAACTTGAGGCGGTGCAGGGTGGCCCCCAGGAGCACGTCGGCAAGGGTGAAGGCACAGCCACAGAGCCACAGCTCACATTTCTGCCCTGGATGGGGGACAGGAAAACCTGTGCACGCCACGTCTCTCATTTTCCTGCCATTATCTCCCAAGTCTTTGTTCAACTTGGATGATGTTTAATGTAGATCCTTAAGTGTGTCGCCTCTATTCTTTTTATTTTTGATCAACTGTGTGTGTATGTGTCTGTGTGTACTCAGGTCCTCAAGTTCTTGCTTGGTTGTTTCCCTCATGGCTAGGTATCCTGCCTCTTGAGCCAAATCTCCACTTCCATTTTTTTTTTTTTTTTTGCTACTTTATTTAGAGATCAGACTCTCTCAGATTTGTCTGCCCCAACTGACCCCAAACCTCAATCTTCATACGTCTAAGTAGGTAGGATTATAAGCATATGCCTATAATTACAGCCACTTGACTCAACTGTCTCTGTGTGCACGCAAACACAACACATCGGTACTAGACTGTAAACTTAGTTTCTTGCTCTCACTTGGCTTCTTGTACTCAGGCCTGGCACTCTACCACTTGAGCTATAATGCCACTTCTGGTTTTTCTGTGTAGTTTATGAGATAGGAGTCTCGTAGGCAAGCTAGGTGCCGGTGGCTCACACCTGTAATTCTAGCTACTCAGGAGGCTGAGACTCAGGGACAGTGCTCAGGCCCAGAGTTCAAACCCCAGGGCCAGCAAAAAACAAAACAAAACAAGTCTCATAGGCTTTTCTGCTGGACCAGCTTTAAACCGAGATCCTCAGATCTCAGCCTCCTGAGAAATCTCAGCCTCCATGGTGTGAGCCACCATGGTCACCAACTAATCAGCTTTATCTTTAAAATACATCTTATTTCTGGTGTTACCTCCACTTTCACCATTTGAGTCCAAACAACCGTAAGTTCTACTAGCACTATCGGTCCCTTGGGAGGCCCTGCTGTTTCAGCCACCAGCCCCTGGAGTCTGTTCTCAACACAGAAGCCAGCAAGATCCTGTTAAAACCTAAATGAAGCCTTCACTGGTGGATTAGTCCTGTAATCTTAGCTACTCGGGAGGCTGAGATCTGAAGATTGTGGTTCAAAGGCGGCCCAGGCAGGAAAGTCTATGATACTCTTACCTCCAATTAACCACCAAAAATCTGGACCTGAAACTGTGGTTCAAGTAACAGAGCATCAGCTTGGAATGAAAAAGCTAAAGGACAGTGTCTAGGCCCTGTCAAGCCCCAGTACCAGCCCACAAAACACACACACACACACACACACACACACACACACACACACACACACGCACACTTTGGCAAGGCAAGTAATTCCACCTTATTATGATCAGAGTAGAAGTTGAGGCCTTTCAAGCCTTACAAAGCTTTTCCTATGTAATATGTCCCAGGTGCCTTCCAGACTCCAGACTCCAGGTTTGTGTGTGTGTGTGTGTGTGTGTCTGTGTGTCTGTGTGTGTGTGTGACAGTTCAAGCTAGTGTCATCAGTAGTAGAGCCAGGAAATGGACAATACCAGCAAGGGAGTGAGTGAGTGTGCACAGGCCTGAGAACAGGACAGGAAGCAAACCCAGTGGCTTCTGGAGCTTAGAGGTTGGGCAACAAGGAATAACCAGCAAAGATGAGAAGGTTCAGGAAGTTGAACTAGGAAAGTGTTGGAGGAGAAGGCAATGCATGGCTGTATCATGCATAAGAGGAGGCCCAAAGCTGGGCACCTGTGGCTCATGCCTGTTATCCTATCTATTCAGGAGGCTGAAATCTGAGGATCACGGTTCAAAGCTAGCCTGGGCAAGAAAGTCCATAAGACTTTTATCCTCAAACTACTCAGAAAAAGCTGGAAGTGGCACTGTGGCTCAAATAGTAGAATACTAGCCTTGAGCAAAAGAAAGTTAGAGACAGTACCCAAGCCCTGAGTTCAAGCCCCAGGACCTCGCCTGGCTGGGACATGCAACAACTGGTGACCTTGACAAGAGAAGTCGGAGGAAATGCTGATGTTGAAGGCATGGCTGGAAGGAGCTCAAGAGAGAAAGGAGAAGAGATGGTGAGCAAAGCTCCTCCCATCCCAAGGAGTTTGTTGTAATGGGAGGTACAGTCTAGCACTGTGAGACAGGCCAAGAGCATGTTTGTAAGTCAGGAGGAAGAAAAGGCAGGTTGATGGAATGATCCAAAAAAAAAGGCCAACATTGATACTACAGGAAAGAGTGGAGAGAATCACTGATGCAGTTTTTGTTTGTTTGTTTGCTTGTCAGTCATGGGGATGAACTCTGAGCCTGGGCACTGACCCTCAGCTCTTCAGCTCAAGGCTAGCACTCTACCACTTGAGCCACAGCACCACTTCTGGCCTTTTCTGCTTATGTGGTGCTGAGGAATTGAACCCATGGCCTCATGCATGCAAGGCAAGCCTCTACCACTGAGCCACCTTCCCAGCCCTGATGTGGTATTTTTGATCTGATGAGCGCGGATGGGCTCCAGTGCGTGAGAGGGGATTGGTCTTAGCTAGTTCAAGGACAGCTCCCCCTTGGTGACAATGCTACCATGATTGGTCATATCTAAGTTACCATCACATGCAAGAGGTCCACCCAGAAGTAAGAGAATAATTGGGCTCGTGGCCATAAGAAACGTCCCAATGTCACAGCTGTTAAGATGGAATTTAATAATGATGTATCTTGGAATGGCTAAGACACTGTGTGCTTTGGACTCTGCTGTGGGTGGGTGGGCTGTCGTGGAGGTGGGACTGTGAGAGCTTCCTGTAAGACTCTCATTTCCTGTTATATAGAGAGGAAGAAGCTAAGGTCCCCTAAGGAGAATGCTCACAAGTTCAGGTGAGTTCTGCCGATGTTTCTCCAGTCATATGTTGGGACCACAGGTAGAAGTACTGGGTAGGTGGTGCTCCAGGCTTATTCAGGTCTGAGGTTTGACAAAGTGAGCCTGACAAAGCCAGAGAGGAGGGCTGGGAAGGTGTCTCAGTATAAGAGTGCTTGCCTTGCATGCACGAGGCCCTAGGTTTGATTCCTCAGTACCACATAAGCAGAAAAAGCCAGAAGTGGCGCTGTGGTTCAAGTGGTAGAGAACTAGCCTTGAGCTGAAGAGCTGAGGGACAGCACCCAGGCCCAGAGTTCAGGCCCCACGACTCTCTCTCTTTCTTTCTCTCTCTCACTCTCTCTCTCTCTCTCTCTCTCTCTCTCTCTCTCTCTCACACACACACACACACACACACACACAGTGCTAGAAATGCAGCAAGGACAAGCACGGCTTGGTAACAAGGGAAAGAGGATGGTGGGTATGAGGTGATGGGATAGGATAAAGGGAGTTACTTCTCCGGCTACAGACTGCATGGAAGCAGCAAGAGACTGCATGTGGATGGACTGAGCTCTGGGGCCCTCTTCTTTCAGCCCTTTCCCTGTCCCCTCTCAGCAGGTGACATGACTCATTCAGAAAACAGAAGCCTTTAGTCCCCTCCAGGAGTGCACAAAACCCTTTCGCCAACTTGTATTAAACACACGCTTTGTGGATAGCCCTGACCTGACTCTCTGTGTGTATCATTTCATATAATGTCTCAAAACCTCTCAGGTGGGTTTTCACAGAACAAATCCCCACTGTATATGTGGGAAACTGAGGTCCAGAGAGTTGAGTGCCTTGTCCCAGTTCGCTCAACTAGAAAGTGGCTAAAGGAGGACTTGAACTCAGGTCTGCTTCCCTAGCCCATGACCTTAATGAGCATGAGAGGATCTCTGGGATCTTTGGGAAGAAGAGTATGGTCCTGGGCAGGACATGGGGGTGGGGTCGATAAGTGGGCTATAGCATCACCCACCCCAGAGCTGGTACCTACCTTCATTCTCCAGCTTCCTCTTCTCCAGCTCTGCCTCAATCTGGTCCAGCACCATGGCCAGCTCCCCGAGGATCTTCTTCAGGTAGCTCACATCATCATGCTCCAGGATCTTAGCCTGTAGTCAGGACAGGCAGGAGAGGCTGAGCTGGCCTCATTGCAGTCAGGCTATCCAGGGATGGAAGAACCTTTGCCTAAACCCTTACTGCTCACCAAGCCTACAAATACCCCTGCCCTGTGGTGGCAAAGCATCTTCGCTTATCTGCATGAGCCTGCAGCCTCCACAGCCCAGTCAGGCAGCTGGTACCCGCACACGCCTTGCTGCTGCAAGGGCTGACTGACAGTGGCTCATGGGTACCCTTCCTCCAGAGGAACTGCTCTGGGCTAAAGAGGGAGGCACTGCCTTGTCCATAAATACATCGCACTGATGCTGACCCTGACCCTGACCTGTGGACAGCCAATGGTTGACTGGCCTGAGAGCACTAATGGCTGGTCCCCGGCTAAAGGTGGATCTCCTGCCCAGTGGCTCTTATACTCCAGAGTTCTTGTGCAATTAAGGGAGGCTTGGTACTTCCTCTTCCCTACCCCTCCCATCCTTACTGGGCTTTCCTCAGAACACTTCTCAGTGCCACTCCATGCAAGAACCTGAGTTCAATACTCAGCTTTCAGACCATGATCGAAGATATAAGGAGCCTGAGACCCCAAGATGGCAGTGGCTTTTCTGTTTCAAACCACCAGTAGATCCTCTCAGAACTAGCTTCTCTCCATGGGAAGGGCGGGCGGGAGGGGCCGGCAGCCTGGGGCTCTCACCATGAGCTTCTTCTGTTTAGAAAGGTAGGGCTCAGACAGCTGGGGCTCTTCCTCATGATCCAGTTTCATGAGGTCCGTGGTGGCATTGGCTAAGTGTCCTGGGGAGAAAATAAGAAAAGGCCCCCTCATACCCAGGGTCTCCCCAGCCCCTCACTGGCCAGAGAAGTTACAGTAGCAACAGCTAGCGCTAAGCAGGCACCGTAGGCTGCCACGTGGGCATGGAATGCGAGCTGCCCCCCAGCTCAGCCAGTGGGAGAGATACACATACAAGGACATCTCATGACAGCATGAAGGACAGAATGGAGGACAAGAATAGGGGTCACAGAGGCCTGCCTTCCTGGGACACAAGGGGCCCAGAAACTTTGTGGAGGAGGAGGACTATCCTTAAGGATGAGTAGGAAATCGCAGAAACAGATAGAGCCCCAAACCTGAAGTCATGGTCCTCCCTCCCTCCCTGCAGTTCCCCTCCCCCACAGGAAGCCAAGCCAGATGCGGGGTGGGGGGCAGGTCCCAACTGCTCTGGAACTCAATCAATCTGATCTGGCATCCTGAGAGCTCTGCCTCCTCCCACTTAACCTCCCCCTCCAGGCCTCCAGCTGCTGCTTCATGCAGACCCACTGTCACATGTATGGACGGAGCTAGGCTCTGTCTTCCCACCCTTTCCCATCTTTGTGAGACTTCCTTACCTACATCCCAGACTCTGCAACACCCTGTTTGAAGCTCATCCCTGCCCTGATAGTGTCCTTGCTCTCAACTTGACTTCAAAGTGCCTACAGGACCCATATCCTCTCCATTTCCATTCCCTCTCGCCTGCTCCACGTTCCGTGGGTTCCCTCCAGGGTGTCCCTATCCCCTGACATAGGTCTCAATCACTCCCAAAGCTTCCAACTCCCTGAATATGCCCTAACATTCCCAAACTCCAGGCCCCTGCACACATGACTTCCCTCTGCTGGAACAGCCATACCCTCAATTCCTGAAAGCCTCCTTGGACTAAAAAAAAAAAAAACATTTCCTCTGTGAAGCCCTCCTTGAGCCCTGACATGTGAGCCTCTGTGCCTTTGTCCCTAGTGTCCCCTCTATAGGCAAGGCCAAGGCGGACTTGTGACAGATGCCGCCTGTCCCTGTGCAGTACACAGCCTTGCTTGCTGTGCCTGGAGATGTTAATGCTAATGTGGCGGTCTGCGGCTGCAGAGGTCTCCTTACAGCATCTGAGGTTCTGCAGAGTAGTCACTGTCGCAGACTCACCTCAGGAATAAAAGGAGCCGAGAAAGCAGCGAGTGTAGTTGTACAGCTTCTGCCCCCTGAGGTTTTTCCACACACCACCCACCCGCAGCTCCACAAGGTCTGTCGCCAGTAAACACACTCCGGGGCTTTCCAGCGCTGGGGCTATATTTAAGTTTCATGGATGTTTGATGAATGCCAAGGTCAAACACAACATCTTATCCCTTGCCATCCCCCAGGCTGCTCTCCTGGCTGTCCTGAGACTTCAGGAGGCCTTGGATGATTTGGGGTGGTGTTCTTTCAGGTTGGGCTTCTGCCCCCACCCTCCCTGCCCCGGAGGTTTCCCTTTGCCTTATCTTAGCTGAAGTCCTTAAATGCTCCCTACTTCATCAATGGAGGTAGAGTAGAGGGTTGGGCCTTCTCTGGACCCCACTACCTCCCAGATGCCTTCAAATAGCTCAGGACAAGAGGAAGGAAGTGGCCCACCGCCAGATGCAGGGATCTGTCCTAGGCCAAGCTACCATTTCCATTTACCTAGCTAACCCTCAGGGCCTCTGAACTGCTCCATCTCCTGTCTCTGTGAGGTGCAGATCTGCTTTGTCACTGTCCATGGCTTCTCCGGCTTCCCGGCTACCTTCTTGATCAACCCCTCTTCTACCAGACCCAACTTCCAGACTCCTTTGGCCTGGGTTCTACCACCCTGCACTTCCCCCAACTCCCCACACATCCCCGGGCCCTCCCAGAACCTGGCCCCTTGTCCTCCCTCTCCTTCCCCAAGTGCTCCAATCTATCCTTATATGGTCCCAGGTCCCCGGGTTCAGGACAGGCATCTTCCATGGCTCCAAACCTCCATATGACTCCTATCACATGGCTGGGACTAGATAAAAGATTTTTAAAAAACTATTTTTGTACAGGCTATTCCTGCCGACTTGTTAAAAAAAACAATTCCAACCGTGCTAAAGAATGTACAGTAACAATACATCTCTCTCCCTCTTCTCCATCTGCAGACTGGCAGCTCTGCACCTCAAAGACTACTGCTGCTTCCTGTGTTTCTCCCAGAACTCTCCTGGCTTGTACTAAGAGCCCTTGTGAATCTCTAAGCCTTCTCTTGTCCTTTTTGGGGGGATGGTATCTGATTTACGTATCCCAGAATTCACAATCCTGTCTCAGCATTGCAGGTGATGTGCCACATCACCTCAAGCTTGCTCCCCCTTCTCCTTTTTCCACTCCTTAGTCTATCTGAAAGAGCATCACATGCCTGCTGTTCTTTTTAAACATCTGTGCAGTATTTCACTGTATGGCAAGGCTGTAACTCATTTACTCACTCCTCTCCCCAGGGGTAGCTGGGTTATTTCCACTGATACTTCTTACTTGGATCAACTATGCAGCAGTAGATATCCTTGCACATACTTCTTAGTGCTCAAGTCCAAGTGTAACTGCACAATAGTCTCCAGACCCTTCCTTACAAGTATGATAGATGCTGTCCAAGTTTACCTTGGTACACATTGTAATTACCAGGTCCTTGTCTTCACTCTGGTGGAACTTTGGCCCTGGACACACAAGTCAAGTCCATCCCTATCCAGCCCCAGCCCCCCAGGGCCTCATAAGTGTTGCCAGACCTTACAGGAAATAAATCCTGAGTGTAACAGACAGGGCGGATGCTACACCCAGAGCCCTCCCTGCTTTTGTCAATCAGCAAGACAATGGAATGGGAAGGGAAGGGATCCTACAAGGTATGGTCCCAGGTCTTTGAGGGCTAAAATTCCCAAATCCCCAGGAGCCCCTACTGATGGATTATCTGACTTAACCCACTTCCACCTTATCCAGTGCTGGATCTAAAAGGATGAACCAGGCTGGGGATATGTTCAGGCTACTGACAAAGATAGTTCATTGGTGGCCATGAAATAGAAAACAGATTCCCCAACACCGCTCCCCCCCTCCCCAGCAGCCTTGATAGTCTCACCCAAGGTAACTAGTGATTTGAGCAACTAGTTAAAGGGCTTCTTCCTGAGCTCCAACCCCAGGGATCTGTGATTGGGACTGCTTGAGGATCCCAGCCCCCCTGCCCACCTCTCAGCTTCATGGAGACCAAAAAAACCTCTCAAGGCCAGCTAACCCTGTAGCTTCTAAATGGGGTGGCAGGACCAGGCCAGAGCAAGGGGACAGTGCTATATTCCATTAGAAACAGTGAAAGGGATGGAAAGCCAGAGAGAAGAGCAGAGCAAGAAAGCAGGAGGAGGGAGAGGGAGAAGAAGGGAGGAAGGCTAGAGAGAGAGGGACAGAAAACATCTCACAGTGAACTAGGCATGGTTGCTCATGTCTGTAACGCTAGCCACTTGAAAGGTAGAGGTAGAAGGATTTGGGTCTGAGGCCTGCCCCAAGGTGGACAGGAGGGGGAACTTACCTTAAAATCACTAAAGCTTTCCTCAGGTTTTTCTTTATGTGTGGGCACATGAGTAATAGTTCACCTACTTTCTTTTCTGGTTGCAATCATATTTATTTCTCTACTGGTCTACTTTGTATCGATTGTGATGATTACAGATAGTATATACTTACTGAATTACCAAACTGCACTTCATAACAACCATTATCTCTGTTTAAAGTAGGTTAAAACTGATATGTTGAATTAATACTTCTTTGTACAACTACTTAAAGATAAAAACAAATACATTTAAATGTAAAAAAAACTAAAGCAATAGGGATTTCAAGTAAGGCCTTGAGTTCAAGTCCCACTGCAGAGAAAGACAGAGAGGGGGTGGGGCAGGTCACAGTAAGAGACAGAAACGCCAGGGACACACAGAGAGGCAAGATGGAGAGAGGGAGGAAGGGGGAGGACAAGGAGAAAGAGTCTCAGGCTGGAGGACAAAGCACAAGGCCTCCTGTCTAAAGGAGGGGACGGGGCAGGAAAGAGCCTCAGAGCTGCTCGCACTCACTGCGAATCTCGGCCGTGGCGTACTTGGGGATCATTGAGTCTGTGGTGAGCTCAGGGTGCAGGATGCAGCCATGGGTGTAGGCATCCATGGGCAGAGCGTCCAGCAGCTCCCTGTACTGCAGCACCCGGGCATGCTGTGGGCTGCCGGCCTCGGGCATCAGGGCCACCACGTGCTCTGTGGGGTATTGCCAAAGGCTGGGCCAGGTCCTCAATTGGCCCTGTCTCAGCCACCCACCCTTAGCATCCCAGAACCCCAAATGTCACACCCAGAGGGTCCCAGGCACCCTCATTCCCAGAACTGGGACTGGTTAACTGGATGTGAGTCTCACAGACTTTTCTACCTAGGCAGGCTTCAAACCATGATCCTTAAATCTTAGCCTTCTGAGTAGCTAGGATTGCAGGTGTGAGCCACCATTGCTCAACATAATGCCGCCGCCGCCGCCGCCGCCGCCTCCTCCTCCTCCTCCTCCTCCTCCTCCTCCTCCTCCTCCTCCTCCTCCTCCTCCTCCTCCTCCTCCTCCTCCTCCTCCTCCTCCTCCTCCTCCTCCTCCTCCTCCTCCTCCTCCTCCTCCTCCTCCTCCTCCTCCTCCTCCTCCCCCCCTCCTCCTCCCTCCCCCTCCTCCTCCCTCCCCCTCCTTCTCTTCCTCCATTATTTTATAGTACAAGCCATCCTGCCAGGCTCCTCTCAGGGGCTGCCTGAGTCTCTGCCACCAGCAGCCAATCCTGAGCCAGTCAAAGGCCAAGGGGCAGGAGAGGATACAGGGTCTCCTGTAAGGTTCTGGGGTCTACAGGGTTCTTGGGTGGCTGGTACTATGTCTGTGGGGTCTCTAGGAGTCTGGTCCCAGCTATGGTTACAGGGTACAGGGGGCTGGATTGGAGGAAATCTGTGGGAAACTGAGGGACCTCCCAGAGGGTCTGTGTCTCCAGGCCTTCTGGGGACTGGAGCTGCAGCCTCCTTCCAGAGTCTGGGCCATGTCCTTCTCCCTGCAGTCCAGGCAAGTGCGGGGGGGTGAGGACTTTCAGCAGTCCTCACCACTCTGAGATTCTTGGGGGACATCTGACCCCTGCCTGTACCCCGGGGAACCTTTTTTTGGGGGGGGGGATAATGGGCCTCACCCAAGGCCCAGTGGCTTTCTAAGGCTCAAAGGCCCGGTGTGAGCCTGTGGGGGCCCCGTGGGGCGCTGTCCCGCCCAGCCGGGCGGCCCTGCGCACGCGCGCACGCGCACGATACCTCCGGTGAAGGTGCGCTCCACGTAGTCGATGATCTGGTCGTAGTCACTGATGATGTTGTCCCGGTGGATGATGACCGGCACCTCCTCGCCCAGGTTGAGCCGCATGAACCAGGGCTCCTTGTGCTCGCTCTGCGGCAGGCTCACGTCCCGCTCCTCGCACGCCAGCCCCTTCTCGGCGATCACCAGCCGCACCTGCAGGCGCCAGGGTCAGAGCGGGGACGGCAAGGCGGGCGGACACGGTGGGGGACACTCTGCCCGGGTGGGGCGGGGCGTGTGGGGAGGGAGGTCAGAGGTCACACACAGGAGGGCACACTGTTGCTTTCAGCCCGTTCTCGGTCACGTGGGTGGGGGGTTATGTGTCCCAGGGGCAGGTGCTGGGTGGGGAGGAAGGACGGGCACCCCCGCAGTGGCCTGGTGGTTCACGGGGCTGGGTTTTACAGGTGTGTAAGTTCCCTGAGCTTTCTCTCAGTTTCCTGGCTGGCAATAGAACCACCCACTGTCTGGCACCTACGATCCTGCTGCACCACTCAGCCTGGCCTGCAGGCCTGGATCTGACTAAGAAAGCCCCAGAAATGCGAAATGCGCACCACCCTCCCAATCTAGAGTGCAATCCTCAGATTATCTGGGGGAACAAAGTGCAGTAATGTTACAGCGTGAACCCACACAGGCTCCTCAGGGACCCTAGAATCTCTGTGTGTTCCCAGGCTTTCTTAGGGTTTGCTTCTGTGCTAGTACTAGGGCTTGAACTCGGGGCCTGGGTGCTGTTTCTTAGTCTCTTTGCTCAAGGCTGGCTCTCTGTCACTTGAGCCACGGCTCCATTGCTGTCTTTTTGGTGGTTAAGTGGAGATAGGAGTCTCAGCACCTTTCCTGCCCAGGCTAACTTCAAACTGCAACCCTTAGATCTCAGCCTCCTAAGTAGCTAGGATTACTGCCCGATATTTGGGGAGCTTTTGGGAACATGAGGAGGCAGTGCTTGCCTAGAGGAAGTGGGTCCCTAGGAGTGACTTTGCAGGCTGTGTCTCATCCCTTGTCCCTTCTGTCTCTGCTTCCTGTCTGCCATGAGGTGAACAGCCTCCTTCACACAACCTCCCCCCCCTCCACCATGATGTCCTGCCTTACACAGGCCTTGAAGCGAGGAGCCAGGGACCATAGGCTACACCCTCTGAAACCATGAGCCACAAATACCACCCCCTGCCCTTTAAGCTATTTTTCTCACGTGTTCAACATAGCAATGCTGACATAACTAACAGGTACATGCAATCAATAGGACCCATTCTAGTCTCCAAATGCCTACTAGCTGATTGCCCAGCCGGATGCTCACAGCAACTCCCCACAGGAGGGCAGGTCAGGCAGTGCTTCCCTATTTTCTTTAATGAGAAGACTAAAGCCCAGGGAGGTCAGGCAACTTACCTGAAGTCAAACAGCAGCTCAGCAAGGAACTTAAAATGAAAGTGATCGTTCCCAACTTCTATTCAGTATACTCTCTTCCCTGAGTACTCTGGGGAGTCCTGATTTGCCCCCTCCTGAGAGGCTCTTGTGTCTCTAGGGAGCTCCCAACAAACACTTGTGATGGAATCTGCCAGCCTCAAAACTGGGCTGTAAGATGGTAGGATCCCACCTTCCAGTTGTCCCCATCTGTCCTTCCATGCATTTCAATTGTGCCAACCTCAGACCCTGTCCCAGGTCCCTAGCAAGGTGTGGCAGGGCCTTCATTCCTAGAGGCTCGATAGGGAGGGAGGAGAGAGGCGGGAGGTGGGCATCCCTGTAAGGCAAGGGCTTATTCTCCAACATCCCGTCCCCAAGCCCTCCTGAGGTACCAGCCTCAGGACCAGACACCCCAGCCTTGCTCCTAGATGCCAAGAGTTCAGCTTCCAGCAGCAGCAGCATGGGGTGAGGGGAGGACCCTCATGCCATGTCGCTCAAGTCCCAGCTCCAGCCTTTGCCTTGCTGGACACTTGGCTTCCCACCCTGCCTCACTTCTTCCAGAGTTCCCTCTGGGCTTGTGGGAGTTCAGAACACCTGGCACATAGTAGGAGACATGGGTCTTAACTGGGTGCATTAAACCAAGTTTTGGAGGCAGATAGATCTGGAACTGAAGCTTGGCTTTACTGCTGTGTGACCTGGGACAGGTCGCTGAATCTCTCTGACCTCTAGTGTCAGTGAGGTAAGGAGTGTAATCTGCTTCTTTAAGAGGGGTGTGAAGTTGAAATGGAGTGATATGAGGTATGGATAGAGGCCCAGGATGGGAGGTTACTAGATGGATCTCTGTCACTGTTCTTACAGGCACATGTGTGTGCATGCGTGTGCACACACACACACACTTCCCTGTATTCAGCAGTGCCCTAGATCCCTCCTGCCCTCCCTGACTACTAACATGAACACCTTCTGCTCATTGCCTGTGGGAGAGGAGAAACGATTATTTACCCCTGCACTCCCAATACTCACACACAGGTCCATTTGCTCCAGGAAACAAAAGCCAGTCCCGTGGCAGGGCAGGGAGGGGAGGGGACACAAGTTGGCAAAATCCCTGGACTGTAGACAGGGACTCAGCTCACCTCCCTGACTCTGATGGGGCAATGCTGTGTGACCTCAGAGCGCTCACTGCCCCTTTCTGAGCTTCTTTTTTTTTCCTTTTCTTTAAACTGGCAGCAAAGTGAGCAGGTGGATTCCATCTTAAGAGTGCCCAGCAGCTGTGCTGTGAGCCACTGGGCCCCTGCAGGAGACACAGCGGCTCCACCTCACCCATGGGCCGTGGAAGAGGCCGCTGGTTCTGTCACCACAGATGGAAAGGAACCAGGGCTACAGAGGGGGAGCAGCCTGGGGGTGGCATCTGCTTGGGTTTGGGTGTGTGAGGGGTATGTGTGGGCATGCAAGTGTGCAAGCTTGAGTGTGACAGTCATGGATGAGTGCACAGAAGTGTTTGTACTCAGGCCATGGCTGAGGGTTAGTGTCTGTGTGTGCACAGATGAGTGTGTGTGTGTGCATGTAAGTGTGTGTGCCTGAGTGAGTGTAGGTGTGGGTGTCTGTGAGCATTGGATGGCCCATGCCCTGGAAAAGCACTGGGGAGTGCAGGCTGGACCTGGATGGGAGAAGCTCACTCTCCCAGCATCCTTTGCATGCAGTAATCCCAGCTGGGAGCTGCCTCCAGTCACCCCAGCCTGCGGTCAAGGAGATGGTCACCTTTAGTTGAGCTGCAGACCAGAGCTATGTGCCATCCAGTGGGGGGCGGGGAGCCCAGAGAGGAAGCGGGGGCCCTAGGGAAGGGCAGGCAGCCACCAAGGCCATCTGCCATCTCTACCTCCCGGAAGCTTTGTAGACTTAGGTGGTCACCACTTGGTGGAACCAGACTTCAGCCATCTCCAGGTACAGTCTTCCCTGTGACTGCATTTCCTGTGTCACATGGGGTGAGTTCCTCCTCACCACGCCTTGTTATGTGATAGATGCCCCACGTGGGCCTCTCTGGGGCTGTTGCTGGGTGACTATTTCAAAAATCCCATCTCTGAACTTTATTAATCTCAAGTATTCCTATCTTCAAAAAATAATAGATTTTGTTGTTGTTGTTGTTGTTGTTGTGTGTGTGTGTACAGTACATTGGTACTGGAGCTTGAACTCAAGAGCGCCATACCCACCCCACACTTGGCTTTTTCATTCAAGGTTGACATTCTAAACTTGAGCCATACCTTCATGTCTGACTTTTTTGGATGGTAAATTGAATAAGGATCTCTTGAAGTTGTATGCCCTGGTTGGCTTTGAACCAAGATCCTCAAATCTCAATCTCCTGAGTAGCTAGGATTATGGTCATGAGCCACTGGTGCCTGGTAGACTTTAATTTTAGAGCAGTTTTAGGCTTACAGAATCCAACACCTTCTTCATCTTATGGCAGTGTATCAACATTGTATCACATACAATGTATCACATTGTATCAACATTGCTTCACATACATATTCACTGAGCACTTTCTATACCTAGGCTTTGTTCTGAGTCGGGGAGGCTCTGCCCTGAATGAGACAGATCACTGCCCTTGGGAGCTGGGGTTTGAGAGGAGCAGATAGACATTAGGCATTTAAGACAACAGCTCAGAGGCAGAGGTGGTTGTAAACAGGGAGGTCCAGCAATTAAAGCCCTGAGGAGATGACATTGGAGCAAAGTTTGGAACAGGGTGAGGGGATATTCAGTCAGCAGCCTGGGGAAGGGAGCTCCAGGTGGAAGGACAACCGGTGTAAAGGCATTAAGGAGGGGACATGGGGATAGATAGGTCTGAAGCTAGTGTCGAAGCCAGGGTGGCTGGAGCAGGGTGGACAGGGATGAGAATAGAGGAGCACAGTGTAAGTAAGTAAGTAAGTAAGTGTAAGAGGATCATGTGTAAGTGCTTTAATGGGGACTCCCAGGCTCAGCTCCCACCCGTGAGTAAGCTAGACCAGGAGATGAGCAGGCTCACCCCTCCATAGGAATGTGGTGATAAAAGGGGGTGGGGCTCCTGCGACCGCCAAATGTGGTAAACACTCAAGGCAAGTTCTACATGGCAGTAATCAAAGCCCACCAGATCATGTGAGAGACACACTTACCATAATGTAACGTGTGTGTGTGTGTGTGTGTGTGTGTGTGTGTGTGTTCTTTGCCAGTCCTGGGGCTTGAACTCAGAGCCTGGGCACTATCCCTGAGCTTCTTTTGCTCAAGGCTAGCACTTTACCACTTGAGCCACAGTGCCATTTCTGGCCTTTTCTGTTTATTCAGTGCTAAGGAATCGAACCCAGGACTTCATGCATACTAGGCAAGCAGTCTACCACTAAGCCACATTCCCACACACATGTGTGTTTTAAAGATATTTCCATAGCTGTACTTCAGTGTGATTGGTTTCCTTTCCAACCTATGAATCATTACTATACATTTGATTTTATTCAATTAAAATCAGTACACTGAGAAGGGTGCTGGGCTTGCCCCTGACTGTCCTGACTCTAGCCAGGTGAGGAATCTAGGGCCATTGTGAAGACTCTGGCTGTCTCCTGGAGGAACTAGAGGAGGCATTGTGGGTGTGTGCAGGAGAATGGTAGAAAGTGAAATATAATCAAGGCTTGAGCCATACCCCAGGTGTTTGAAAGTCAAGGCCAGGATGAGAGGCAGAGGTTTTTCCTTCTAGTAGACCCCAGGGGTCAGGACTGGTCCCTGGCAGGACTCAGACCTAGATCTCTTACCCCTGAGGATGGAAGGCTGGAGCCCCCAGGTACTGCACAGTGGCAGAACCTGAGCTAATGGGGGTAAGAGGATCATGAACAGGAAGCTGGGGTGGCCCTCGGAGACTCATCCTGGTAGAAACCCAGCTGTACTCACATCGCCTTTCTGCTGTGCCAGGTGCTGGACTGAGAATTGTACTTGTACTGACTCATTTAATCCCTGCAAATACCCAGGGATGTGGGAACTGGTACCAACTACCACTCTAGCACCTACTCACAGCCTCAGTTTACAAAGGAGGAAACAGGCACAGGGGCAGTGAGTAACTTGCACAAAGTCACACAGCTAGGAAACAACACTGGGTTTTCAAAAGCTGGCAGGTGTGAGATGATCATGTAGAAAGTTTGGTGGACATAGAGGAAGGGCCGTTCTTCCTGCCTGGGGTAGGAGGGAGTGATGCAGGCTGTATTATGCATCAAGTTCATTTTCCCATGGAGGCAGCCTAGGATCAGACAACACAGCCAATCAGTGGGGCTCCTGCAGGTTACTCCTCTCAGCCTCATTCCTGCCCCAGACAAGGGTCCCCCACCCCTGTCAGGTCATGTAAGGCCCTCAAAATCATTTGGTGTGTGTTGGGACAAACATGCATGTTTCTCCTTGGCTACCCGTGGCTATCTGCCTGTACTGATCATTCTGTGATGGCCATAAATGATGATATAAATATCCAAATAAGCCTTGGCAGGAAACAGGTTCCCTACCTCTGCTCTCTGGGGCAGGAGTATCTCATATTTACACTCTGCATTTAGAGGTCCCTCCAGACCCTTGGTTCGAGGTTGTCCCCCATGATGGTTCCTCAAAGTTTGCCATCAATATGCAGCTGTGTACCAAGGTGTGGCCAGGTATGATACCATGAGTCTTTACAAGCCCTGGCGAGTGGAGGATGGGGGAGGAGAGACAAACAGCTGAACCAAGTGTGACCTGGAGAGGTGAGGACTCTGCCCCTGGCCATGCCACCGGGAGAGGCAGGGTTGGAATCGGACCTCACGCCTGGCTCATGCCAACGCCCATGTCTTCACCATTGTGGCCAGCACTCCTAGCTCACATCCTGTGCACTGAGCATGTGCTATTCTGGGTGATGCGTATGCGTTCATGGGCGGCCTTCTCACAGTGGCCCTGTCAGGGGCCTCAGTTACTACTCTCGGTGTGCAGGCTGGATAATGAGAGGTAAGGCAGTGTGTACAGGTTATCCAGGTGGTCAGGTGATCTGAGCTCTAAGCTCAGATCAGCTGGAGCTGGACTACCCTGCTGCCCTCTGGATCGGGAACTGCCCTCAGATATCCAGGGGAGCTGCCGTGGGGGTTAGAGGTGGGCTGTTTTCTGCTATCAGCAGCCCAATTCCTTTAAGGCCTGGCTTCTCTTATGATCATCACTGTGAGGAGCTTCTCTGTACTGGAGCCAGACCCCTCAATGCCAGAGGGAAGGAAGAAAACTTGCCTGCTAAGTTCCTGCACTTAAGCTTCTGGGTATGGAAACCCTAGAGATTCTGCAGAGGAGGATTCTTTAGATCAAGAATTCTGCAGGGGATCCTGGAGAAGGCTGGACCCTTTTCCAGATATGGCTGTTAATTCACAGAGAGGTGAATGTGACTTGCCCAGAGGTCACTCAGCCAGCAAGCAGCCAAGAGGAGACTGGAACCCAGGGCCATGTGGTGATCCACCTGGAGCCCTCCAGGCCAGGGGAGGCCTCAGCAGAGGAGACAGGAGGATGTCTAGGATAGTTAGGTAGAAGCTTGGTCCAAAGTACCGTTGCTGTGGGTGCTCCCATCCCAGAATCCAAGGCCACCTATGCCCTGTTCCCAGACTGGGTAGAAAATATTCCAAGAAGGGAAAGCAGGAAACTTCCTTGGCCTGCCCCCGGTTCTGTCCTAGCCACTGGGGCCTGATTCCTGAGAGTCTAGAGGAAGGGGCTCTACAATTTGGAGATTTGTTGATTCACCCCCAAACTGGTGAATTCATTCATGTGGAGCATGTGTGAGGCCCTGGGTTCAAGTCTAAGCACCTGGCCCAGCCCCTGGTAGGCAGTACCTGTACAGAACTTATTGATGAGCCCCAGAATGACCTTGGTTAACTTAGGCTGTCCTTTACCTAGCATTTTTCTACCTTATTTTTTGAACTTGAACTCAGGGTCTCCCATATGCTAAACACGAACTCTACCAGTGAGTGAACTCCACTCACAGCCGCATCACCTACCCCTTTAACATTCCCAGAGCCTTGACCCTCTAACTGGGTATCACCAATAGCACTGTGTGTGTGTGTGTGTGTGTGTGTGTGTGTGTGTGTGTGTGTGTACATCCTCTCACTTTCCCCCCACAGCAGCCCATGGGGGAAATGATTGTGCTAGCCTCACTTTGCAGAGAACAACATTGAAGCTAACTTGTGCAAAGCTCTACAGTGTAAAGATAGCTCTCCCACTGGGGGTTGGTGGGGCCTCAAGTATAGACGGCCAAATGGGGGCAACCCCAAAGTGGCCGATGGAAATGTAGGGCCTGAGCCTTGTAGATCTAGTGAACCAGGTTTTCTGTGGAGGAATCCGGCAGACTGTGCCCTAGCCAGGATCACACTCAAGCCGGCCTGAAGTGTCAAGCCGTGCCTCCCGGTTCACAGCCCTCCTGGCAAGCCGGCGGAACGACTAGAGCTCCAGGTGGCTTTTGGTCCATCCTCATTATCGGGATCCCATTTTCCGGATCATGAAACTGAACCTGAGCCATAACTCAGACCCCAGAGGCTTTGGTTCCAAAGCCTTGTCTTTCCCGTTCATAGAAAACCGAGTGAATGGAAGAAAAGCATCTTCGGAGGAGAGGAAGAGGCCGTCCGGCCTCAGCGGGGCCCGACGCCGGGCTCTGGCCATGGTGCTGAACCCACACGCCCGAGAAAGGACCGGGCTGGCAGGGTCGGGGCAGGGCGGGGGGGTGGAGGGGGGCGCGCTCGTAGCCGGCTTTGTTTTAGGGTGTTTGGGTCGAGCCCCAGGCTGGATTTCAGCTGCCCCCCGCCCAGCCCTCCTGGGTCTGAGAGGGGGTTTTAGGGGAAGGAACCCATCTGCGCCTAAGAGCAGAGCCCCGCTCCGCAGGCCGCGGCGCCGGAGTGTGCGGGGCTGGGTTAACTCCTTCCTCCCAGCTGGAGGTGAGGGGACGAGGCTCCCGAGCCCCGGCCGGCGGCGGGCGCAGGGCTCTGCGCGGGGTGCAGCAGCCGCAGCAGCAGCCGGAGGAGGAAGGCCGGACCCCGGGGAGCGCCCCTCGGCCCCACCCCGCAGGCCGCTGCCCGGCGGTGCCCGGCGCCCCTCGCCTTTGTCTCTCCTCGGCCTCCCCCTCCCCACCGGCCCACCGGACAGGCAGCGGGAGGGAGCGGTGCCCGGGCGCCCAGGCAGGCCGGTCACCCCCGCGGGCAGCCGCTCCCAGTCCCCGGGGCCCGCGGGCGCCGGCCCCCCGCCCCGCCCCAGCCCCGGCCCGCGGCTCTACCTTCTGCGAGCTGAAGGACTGGGTCCAGTGGTAGAGAACCAGGCTCTCCTTGGGCCAATGGGCGGGGCTGGCCGCCTCGGGCGCGTCGGGGGCCTCGGCCGGCTTGGCCGCATCGCTCTCCAGCGCCGAGATGGGCCACCAGCTGCAGTTGGTGGGGGTCAGGTTGTTGGGGGTCGCCATGGCCGCCGGCGATCGGAGGAGGAGGAGGAGGAGGAGGAGGAGGAGGAGGAGGACGGCGGCTCCTCGGCTCGCTCGCCCAACATCACATGGCCTCGCCGAGCCTGCCCCTCCGCTTCCCTCCCCCCTCCCCGCCAAGTCATCGCTCCCCGGCCGAGGGGGAGGGGCGAGGGGATCCCGGGCGCCGCGCTCCCCTCCCCCTCCCCTCCCTCCTCCCCTCCCCGCGAGCGCCCGGCGGAGGGAGGGCGCAGGGAGGACGGCGGAGGGCGGGAGCGGCCGCGCCTCCCCTCCCCCCGACGCCCTCCCCCCCCCCCCCGGGGGAGCGCACCGCGGGCCGGGCCGGCCCTGCACCTGCCCCAGGTGCCACCATGATCGGCCTCTCCCCGCTTAGGTAACGCGTACGAGGGGAGTCCGCACCTGCTGCCTTTGACCCTGGTATTCTCTGCCTTGGTTTCCCCCCGCCCCCGATGAAGGGGACCCATGATGAATTATTTAACCAGGCACTGACTGTGGCTCTAAGCCCTCTCCCCCCCCCCCTTCCCCTTCAAAATTTAGGCCCTACAGTAATCCCATTGGTCTATGTTCTGGGGGAGGAAACCAAGGCAAAAGAGGCTAGGTGACCTTGCCCAAGGTCACCGGGGTACTGCCTGGTGGGCCTGAGATGCCAACGCAGGTGGCATGGCTCCAGAGAGTAGGTCAGGATAGGAGGCTACACGAACCGCAGCGCAGCAAGCCTTTACCCGCATCACCTGGCTTTATCCGAACAGGAATCATTCTTCCCAGATAAGGAAGCTGAGACGCAGATGTCACTGGTCCAAAGACCCATCTTCACTCCTCCCGACTGAGACACGCTCAGAGGAGTTCAGAGGACCCCCGTGATGCCTTTGTCCTCAGGGGTGACTTGAACGATTGTGGGAACTATGAAAAGTTCATTTTTATTTTTTCCGTTTTATGTCGGTCCTGGGCTTGAACTCAGGGTCTGGACGCTGTCTCTGAGCTCTTTTGCTCAAGGCTAGTGCTTTTCACTTTGAACTACAGCTCCATTTCCGGTTTTTGAGTGGCTAACTGGAGATAAAGAGTCTCACCCGGGGACTTTTCTGCCCAGACTAGCTTGGAATCATGATCCTCAGATCTCAGCCTCCTGAATAGCTAGGATTACAGCCGTGAGCCACCAGTGCTCAGCTCATGCAAAGTTCTGAAATGCACCCTTGCTTCCAATAGAGAACATTGTTTTAATTTACCATTGGGTGAAAACAGGAGCAGGCTTGGAGACAATAGATGTACATTCAGCCCCTTGTTGCTTCACATGAAAGATGAGTTCTGAGAAATGTCCTCAGGCAACATCATGGTGCAAACATTGCAGAGTCCTTAGATGAACCAAGAAGACTACAACATCATCAGGTGCTGTAACCGCACAAGACCACCATCATATATGTGCTCCATGGTTGAGCTATGTCCATATGCATTGTATAACCAGGAAGATCAACTGCTCAGTTTGCTACTAGAGATTCTTGGTCTCATAGCCTCCCAGATTGCATGTGCTACTCATAAGTACCACCCATCAGTGTCCTTCCGTCTATCAGGAAACACAAGTTCTGTGACCTGTAGATTCCCCTTTTTTCCTTGGCTGCCAGGAAGCCTAGAGCTACTTTCCACTAAGTTCCACTTGTTACATTAGCTTCCCAGATTCAGCAAAGTCTCTCTCACTCTTCTGATTTTTTTCTTCTTTTCTCCTGAGAACACCCTATTGTTTACTGATTTTGCAAAGAAGAACATGATACATCTTGTAGGAAAAATTAATTTTTGTGTGTGAAATTAAGAAAGCACTACAATGTTTGGATGGCGGTAGAAATTTTATCCTCTGCTGTGTGGAACCTGACAGTATCTACAGAGACAACTAAGAGAAGTCATGTTCAAAAGTGTATCTAACCCTGCATCTAGCATTAACTATGTACTGATGTGTGCCAGGCACTTTATCAGGCCTAAAAGACTTAGTGATAAAAAAGGACAGACACTGGCCTGCCTTTTGCACTATTTCCTTAGCAGTGCATCTCAGAACTTCCTAATGGCATAAGCTGTCTAGTCCACAGACCATAAAATATTTACTTAACAACTTTACTGACAAGAATACATACTGCCCCTCACCATTTTGTTATTGAAACAAAGCTGCCATGGTTTATTCATTGTGTACATGTAAGGATAATCTGCATGTTACATTCTTAGATCTAACAACACTGGCACACAGAACATTTTTGTCAAGGGTCTCAAATAGTACTTGCCCCTACCAGGCTAAGAAAGTGAAGATTTCACTACACTCCAATTTCTCATACAGAAGATTTTAAAACATTATTACTATGCAAAAAAAAAAATCATTTATGGATGAAGATAAAATGTCTTCAGTATTCAATTTTAATTTTCTTTTACCGTTTCAAACACAAAGAAACAATAAACAAACATGTATATCCATCATCTGGACATCATAATTGTTAAAAACATAACATATTTGGGTAATGTTAAAAATAAAACAAAACACACCATACTATGTGTGGTGCTGCATACCTGTAACCCCAGCCCTTGGGAAGCAAGGGGATCATGAATTTGAGGCCAGCTTGAGGTACAAAATGAGACCCTGTTTCAAAAACAAACAACTTACCATCCTTGTTTGAGGGGTTGAGCTTTTGAAGTAAATTAGATATTATAGTATTTTTCCAATGAAATACTTCAGTGCTGGCTACTTCATATAGTATGTAAAACACAGGCCATTTTCTTACATAATGCACAATTTTTATACTCTAAAAATAAAAAAGTCTTAGTCATCTAGTTTGATTTAATTTTTTTCCAATTTGCCAGAAATACCTTTATAGTTGGTTTCAAAAGGTTCAACCAAAGACCATACACAACAAATTGTGTTTCTTTCTCTCTCTCTCTCTCTCTCTCTCTCTCTCTCTTTGCCTGATATGGACTTGTGAAGAGATTGGGACCAATTTCTTGGTCAATGTCTCATGTTGGGAATTGTCATGAACTGCTGGTATTTTCATATGTATTTGGCTCCCTCCCTTCTTCTCCTCCTCTCTTCTCCCTTCCTTTTTTGCAATGCTGGGATGGAACCCAGGGCCTCTTGTATCTTAGGCACACACTCTACCACTGAGCTCCAGCCCCAGCCCCTGCCCCTCTACTTCTTACAAACTAGCCTAGGCTAAACATGGCAAGGGTGAGATTTCATTATTACTTCCTGGTGCCCTGTGTGCCTCATTGCACCTCCTATTAGGGGTGCACAATGGTTTGCTGCTCCCCGTTAAGGTGGGGACCACATCCCTCCATGATGAGTTTCCCGTCCTCCCCTTTGGCCATCCTCTTGTAGAAATCCAGATGCTCACCCACGGAGGGCCTCCACTGAGTCAATCACCAGAGGCTGTGAAATGATTTGCCTTTTCACCGGCATTTACCAGCCGCATTCTTTACTCACGTTTTGTTAATGACGAGCGAGGCCAACCATCCTCTCAAGTGTTTAAAAACCATTTTAATTTCTTTCCCAGTGAATTGTCTGGGTTTCTGTGGGGACTTGGACAATTGCAGCCCAGCATGTTAAGTGCTATCACCAGGACAGGAATGGGTCTGTGGGAGACAGCCAGCGAGGAGAGTGGAGAAAGACTTCTCTTCTGGGAGATTCATAATTTAGAAAAGCACTTATTTTCTCCTTTTAAGTCAGACTTTCCCTTGGGTACTGATAGAACAGTTGATTAGGATGAAAGCTCTTGAAAAATAATAGTTTCAGACACAAGCGTCCAATTTTTCAAAAGTAATACCTACTTGAATTGTGATTCAAAATCAATAAGCCTTCTGCAGCTTAACCATAGAGGCAAGAGGGGTCCCTAAGGAGGGTGGGAAAGACACAGTGCCCCTCAAGATCCAGTGTCTAAGGAAGCATCAACGTTCATGATTTTTCATGGTTTGTTAACAAGGCAATAAATATTCCTGGGGCTGGGCTGTAGCACAGTGGCAGAGTACTTGCCTGGTGTAAGGAAGGCTGTACATTCAATCCCTGGCAGCATAAAAACTAGTAGGAAAACCAGTAAATAAACAAACAAAAGGCTCACCTGGAAAGGTGGGCTGAAACCATGAAGGTAAATTCCCCATCCCTGCAAAGCCAACCTCCACCCCATGTTTTCAGTTTCTTCGTTCTTGTCTAGAACACTAATACTATCCACTGGGTGTTGTTCGCCTTTGCAGAGGTGATTTCATTTCCAAAGTCTTGAAGGGCACTGCTGTTTTATGCAGCTTTAAACTTTTCCCCCTCAAATACTTCAAAGCCACTTTGGAAGCCAGGTGTGATGGAGCATACTGTAGGGACATGGGAGCTGAGGTAGGAAGATATGACTGAGAAAGTCCTATCATCCTGAATGACAGAGCAAGTTCTTGTCTCAAAACAAAAAAACAAAGAACACACACACACACACACACACACACACACACACACACACCCTGAGTCTTGGACTAAGTGATGCAAGGGCTGGTAGATTTGACACACAGAGCTTAACATCTTTTTTTGCACAAGAATCATTATGAAACAATGTTAAGCAATTGACTAAGAGAAATATTTAAAACTTAGAAAGCGAAGAAATAGGCATCATAGATAAAAGCCCTTACAAATCAATAAAATGTAGTTAAAACTATATATGTTTAATTAATTGATTAATTAATTAATTAATTTTGTCGGTCGTGGGGTCTGAACTCTGGGCCTGGGTGCTGTCCGTCCCTCAGCTCTTCAGCTCAAAGCTAGCGCCCTACCCGGCTTTTTTCTGCTTACGTGGTGCTGAGGAGTCTAACCCAGGGCCTCATGTATGTGAGGCAAGCACTCTAACCACTGAGCCACCTTCCCAGCCCCCAAACTATATTTTTTAAAGAAAGAAGGAGGGCTGAAGGTGTGGCTACAGTGGCAAAGCACCAGTCTAGCAAGTGTAAGGTCCTGAGTTCAAGATCCAGTAGTACCCAAGGAAATGCAACTCGCAACAGAATCCAGTGTTGGATACTGTGATTATCTCTGTACCCAGCTCTCACCTCCATATTGAATATCATGTCCAGTGGGTGAGG